TCCACCTTTGCGCTCTTCCTCTGTTTGAACTTGGGCAGAGAAAACTCCACGTCCACGTCGCTCATCTCCAGCCTGGGAGGCGTCCCCTCGACCACCAGCTCCTCCCGGCGCTTCTCCTTCAGCCTCTTCAGACCGAAGCGACCGCCTCTCTTCTTCTTGGCCTTGAACGGCTTGATGCCCTTCACACTCTGAGAGAGTCGCAACAAAATCCTATAAATATCTGCTTTATTTTATGATTTAGTTTGGATCACGTATAAATAAAGAAACTGATTGATTACCATTTTGGCCATCTTGGCTTTGGGACCTTTGACCTCCACGCTGGGAACGCGAGGCCGGATGCTGACCTCGGCTCCGGGGATGGTTCTCTTGAGCAGGAAGCTGACCTTGTACGGTTCTGCACACTGAAGGATCTTCAGAGCGTCTTCATACTTCACGTTGTCAAAGTAGACCTTTGCACTGAGCAGCTGGTCACCTTCACAGAGAGAACTTTATGAATTCTTTTATCCAGTGTTAAATCCTGCACTCTACAATACAATTCTATATTTTTAAAAAAATACAAACTGTAAAAATGTGGCAGAAAAAAAACAAACTAATGGTTGAAGAAATTTTTTTACATTTTTTAATCCTTAATATTCTATTTCTTTTCTTTTTTTTTAAAAATTATGGCAATTATCTGTGAAATAATGATATTTTTGCTGATTTAAATACTTTGATTTGAATAATTTTACAGTCCAAAGTATTTACAGAATAAATTACTATTTGTAAAAATACAGAGTTTTGATATGGGCAGTATTTACAGTTTTGGCGTGTCTTTAGTTAACGTTTAAATCTCTTTTTTTTCTCTCTAATTTTACTATTTGTTGTTGGTAATTTAATTAAACAGGAGAAATGTGCCTGTGTGTGTTTCCTTTCAAATGATTGAAATGAAATGTCCAACATCAAATCACTCATTCAGGCAAATCAATAATAACGTGGGCTATTTTGTCATTATCAATACATCTTTCTTACTGCACATATTTTAACATTTTAATTACAGATTTAAGGTTTGTCCAAGTCACTCCACCCCTCAATTAATATAATTCTTAAGAACTAATTATACTTATTTTATTCTTTAGTGTTGAAAATGGTGCCAAGCATCCACAAACCCAACTCTACTGACGACCAAAACACCAGCATGTCTTCATTTAAATCCCTATTAGCACGTTTTTGAAAAGCCCACACTGCAGGAGGAGCTTCCTGAATGAAGTGCAGGTGTGGCTGCAGGTACCTTGCTGCAGACTGAGGTGTTTGGCAGCTGGAGAGTCTTTGAGGACGTCTTTGACGAAGATCCCTCGCTCTCCTCCTCCGGTCACGCTGTAGCCGCTGGCTCCGGCCTCGGCCTCCGTCTCCACCACGATCTCCACCGACTCCGAGGCTTCCTCCGCACTCTGANAGAGAGACATCAAAAGTAGGCATTTTGAATTTTCCTCCCTTCCCAGCATGTCCTTCTACTTCGATATCCCCTTCCATTTTGCCTTTGGGGAGAGAAATATCAAGTGCAGGCATTTCAAATTTACCACCTTCAGTGTCACCTGTCTTCATTTTAGGTAACGAGATGTCACATGATGGTAACTGAAACTTTCCTCCCCCTTCGATATCAGTTGTTCCTGCTTTGCCTTTGGGAAGCGTCAAGTCCACTTTGGGCAACTTGAAACCTCCTCCCATTTCTTGTCCCGTTATGTTTACTTCTCCTTCCGGTGACTTCATTTTTGGGAAAGATATGTCAAAATCAGGCATTTTGAACTTTCCATCTCCGCCCACGAAATAGTCCATATCCACGTCTTCAACCTCCGGTTTCACCTGTGGGAGAGAGATGTCAACAGAAGGCAGGCTGAATTTTCCTCCACCTTTTGGACATTCAACATCCACATCAGGTGATCCCATCTTCGGTAGCGAGATGTCGACCTTCGGCATGGAGATTTTGGGCCCTTTCAAAGTTCCTTCCACCTCATCGGGAATTCTCCATCCGGTGTCTAATTCCAAATCAACATCCGGCACAGAGACGTCGACGGCGGGCATGTTGATCGATGTCTTCCCAGCCCCTTCAAACTCTGGGAGCGAGACGTCAGCTTTTCCCTTCACTTTTGGTAAAGAAATATCAACAGAAGGCATTTGAACAGATGCAGCTTTTCCTGAGAGATCACCTTCCAGCTTCGGTTTGGTGATATTTGCCTCCCCATCTCCTCTGATTTCTACTTTTGGCGGTTTGATGTCTGGCATTTTCATCCCTTCAGCTTTTAGCTTGATGTCGCCATCAATCTCATCCGAATGACGTGAGAGTCTCACTTTTGGTAGTTTCAACTTCGGCATTCTGAGCTTTGTATCTCCTTTTCCTTCGGCTGCATCGGCTCCTCCTTTAATGTCCACTTTAGGAGCTTTGATTTCTGCCTTCCCTTCAGCTTTTCCTGAAGGCAGCGTGAACTCCACATCAGGCGGGCTAAACTTAGCTCCTCCCTTCTCCACGTCCACGCCTTTATCACCGGACAAACTGAACTCCACCGACGGCGGCTGGATGTTGATACTCGGAGGCTTCAGCTCCACCGTTTCCAAAGACGAGCCTGACTTTGTGTGTTTGGTCTTAGGAAATGTGATCCCAAACTTGTGTCCTTTGGCTTTGGTTTTCACTTTAGCTCCGGGTATTTCAGACGGAGAGACGTCCACCTCTCCCTCCAGTCGTCCTGTTTCCACTTTTGCTCCCGTCTCTGCTCCGGCATATCCTTTGGTTTTCATGTGGGGGAACCTGGAAGAACAAGGGCGAAAACAACATTATAATAACTTTCTTTTAATTATTGTGATCAAGCATTTCATAATAAAACTTCTTCTGTATGTTTTGTTTGGGATTATTGTGAGATGCGACCGCATATGGCCTATAGTGGAAGGTTGGGGGAGTGAGGTG